TTGTGTGGCAAGTCTAAAAACAGCTTGACCTATGTTGTTCGTACATAGTGCTGGAGATGGCAACTTCCTGGGCCGAACGAACAATCCGCTGCGGAATCAACGGCACTGCAAATAAAAAAAAAAAATGTTGGCATATGGGAACACTCTGTTCTAAAATGCGCCTCCTTTCTTAGGCACTATCAGCTATGACATTGTTTTTGGGCAACTCCGGTCCAACATGTTTACAGCGGTGCTGTTCCGAGGCATAAATTGGGTACAAATGTCACTCAGATAAGGCCTCAATATACCAGGAAGGGTAAGCAAATACCTATATATAGGGGTTTTAGATAGGAGCACAACACGGAATTTTTTTTTTTTATAGGGTAGACATATATTTTACAAGCGGTTAGCACGCAACATGCTTCTGTCGTGCCGTAACCGTCTAATGTTCGTTGGCCTGAAATATCCATTTTTAATGTTCTGCTTCTTCCAATGTTTTACTCTCTATTTTTCAGTTGCACTACCTATTTGCACCACAATACCTTTTCGTTGAAGAGGAAGCCAAATCATCGTTAGCGCTCGGCATCGTTAACGATCTCCCGCGTCTACTATTTCGTGTTTTTTTTTCACAAGCAAACGCAGTATGACCGAAAAGTGAAGACGCGCCGTCCGTTACTTAATTCGGACGAACCGTCTGCATTCACAAATTCGGTTAGCAGACGATGACTTTGTCTCCCGTCACCTGAGCACATTTAAAGTGAAATAAAAGCCTTTAAATTAGCGTGCCAAAATAATATATATATACGTGTTAGCTAAGATAATAGTCACATTCAACGTACAGGAAGAGTTTTGCGTGCGGATTTAAAGACATTGCAGGAGACGGATCATACCGGTGACGTTCCAGACGTGCGCAGTGCTTAGCCTATGACATGAACTGAAAGCTAATGAAACACTAATATTCTGAATGTGATATAGTATTTCTGGACTATGTATTACATTTATGTACATAAGAAGAAGAAATGCCGGTGAGCTGCACATGTGCTTTGTTTTGCCTTTGATGAAAAGTGTCCCAAGCAATATTTCGAGTTGTCGCTATTCAAATTGCAAGCGCACCCCGGCATAATGTTTAGTGAAAAAAAAAAAAGTGCACTCTCTTGTCACTATAAATAGACATGTCATAATGTCAAGAATGTCAGCTTTAGCGATCAAAACATAATTAACGAAATTAAGTACTACGTGCAGTGTTTCACTCGACCGTAGCAGACGACGGCGCGCGTTGCTGACGAGGCCGACGCCTGGAGGCGATGCCGCTCTCCCTCCTATTTAAGAAAATAATTTCTCCAAAATAATAAAGAGTACTTTTCCAATTTTTAGATATGTTGAGACGAAGGGGTCGTTTGAACTTTCGGGCATTTCAGAAAATGCGAGCACCGTTGCCCATGCGACTTTTTTTTACCCTCTATATGGCCGTTTTTGAAGAAAATGTCATATTAACATTTTATCTAAAAACATATCCGAATAAATTTTACAATTGTAATGCAACCTATTAGAAAAAATCGTAAGGGTGCAGGCGAGTTGGTGAATATTAACCATGTTGAAATAACCTGAGACTGGGGTAGAGAAGAAACATCAAAACGTAGAAGGGAAAGAAAATAGACAGGACGACGTCTCAATTAGATGTCGTCCTGTCTATTTTCTGTCCCTTCTACGTTTTGATGTTTCTTCTCTACCCCAGTCTCAGGTCAATTCAACATGGTTAACCTACTAGAGCATAGGGTTTAGAAAAACAAGTAAAAAAAAGTTTCTTAATGAAATTTTAATTTCAAGATGACTAAAAAAAATCAAAAATTCTTAAACATTTGTTTCGGTTTGGAGTGCCTCTCTGGACCCAAAATGGCGGTGTAAGGTGTTTTCCTTTCATCGTAAGATAGAATATATTAGTGCTCGATTGCATGCAAGCTTAAAATTATCTGCTAAAGATAAGCTTTTCCTCAGCAATTTTTCGAAATACAGAAGGTTTTCTCCGATTCCCCGCATTTCGGAGCATGACGTCAGCAAAAATAAACATAATTCAGGCCTCAAACTTAGCCATCCTTACTTTTAGACGTGTCTTTAGTCATATTATTTTTTTCAAGCATATCCAAGATATGACGAAAATTGCCGTCTCCTTTGGCATGGAGACGCTAAAGACTAATTGTCAGTGGATCTGTCGGTGTGGACCAAGCACCAACAGATTTTAGCGTAGAACTTTCACACGTGAAAGTGCAACACGAGAATTTGATAGGAGCGTTGGTGCTCACATGAAATTATAAATTGTTCAGCGCAACACTATAGATATCCAAATCCTAGAAAAAAGTTCCTCACATAAAATGATTCCAAAAGCTTCACAAAAGGTGTGCTGTGCCTTACATTTTTTTTGGTTCGCACATAAGCCCTTCCTAATGTTTGTCACCAAAGAATTAATAGGTTAAGTATATAATTATATGACTTATTTAATCTGTACCGGAGATATTTTGATTAGAACTGTGTAGGTGAATAGCCTGCACAAAAAATCACTGCACTTAAAAAAAAAGTCACACTAGAATTAGTTTTAGCTTTTAATGAGCATGCCCGATCTTCCTCCACTACAAAACGCACTTCCCGTGGCATTTCAGAAGGGGTGAGTGCGTGCGGAAAGCAGCTGATTGGCGCTCAAGATGTGCTAGCGCACGGGCGCCCACATATTAGACCTTATTGCCACAGAAAATAGAGACTAATTGAAATTTTATGTGTTGAGAGCTGGACAGGTAAATTTGGATAATTATTTTGTATTCTATTCAGCACGCTGAGTTTATTTTGCACCCTCCCAGGCATTGAAACAGTAGGTCTTTAGCTTATTAATTTTTATTATTGAGGTCTTCAGGTATTGTTATTTTACAAGAACAGCCTACGGATGAAAAAATCTTTGAGAGGAAATTATGTATCTCAGATTAATTTATTAACCGTGTACATAACTTCTTATAAAAATTGAGTTTTTATTCAATATGTTGCCTTGTTTATGGTTCTTCAATTGACTCTCTGAACCAGGAAAACTGTAAAGTATAAATTGCTCTATACTCTTTTTGAACACGTTGCCCTGCTTAGGTTAATGCAGTGATTAGTTTGCGCAAAGTTATATCTTTTTATTTTTAGGTAAACACCTGTCTTTTTGTTTTTTATTATTTTAAAGACACAAAAGGCTGCTGAACTCAAATGTTTAAAGGGGTCATGAAACGATTTTCGACTTCTTCCTCCTTGGTTTTAATCCTCAACTCAAGGGCGAATTGTGAAATCGCGTCGTCGTGACATGCTTGGGCACCGATGCGATGACTCCAAGCTTCCACCGTGCTTTTTATGCACACCATAGAACTTGGCATTCGCAAGTGACGGTAAGTTCCGTCAGGGCACTCCTTGGCCACGAACACAGACCCAAATATTCGTCAGCGGATTGATTGTTGACAAGCGCATACGTCCGAATGACGCAGTTCTCGTGTCCAATGCCTGAGCTGGGCTCGGCTGACGTCATTTTGGCACCGCTGACGTGCTTTGGGAACCGCGGATGTATTATAGTGAAAAGTTGGAGAGCTTTCGAAGGAGGTACGAAATAGTGCGCTATATTTTCAAATGTTAGTACCGAAATGCTGGCTTTTGACTTTCCACCCTTTTTCTTTTGGCCCACTAAACGATATGCGATTAGTAAAATTCTATTTTAAAATAATTTATTCCGGCCAAAAATTCGTTTCATGGCCCCTTTAAATAGGCTTCTGAATGATGTGTTTGAATAGGTTTCTTCACGACATTATGTTAAAAAATAATCTAGTATCTATAAAAATAAATTACTTTAGTCGGTTACGACTAACTTGAATAATTTGCTTTCAAAAGCGCGTATATTCAAATGAACTACTGAGCTTATTTGAATGTCATAATCTCATCCGCCAATTTCAGTTGCGAATTCCAGTGCTTTCCTCTTGTTATAACATATTACTTTGTGAAAACATAATCGTGGGCAAACTGCCTATTTCTTTTTCAGTCAACGTGGTACGTTCCTTTGTAGTCGAAAAAGGTACCTCACGGGTAGAATCATTTTACAATGTAATAACGTCGACTGGACCACGAGACACTGTTTTCTTTATGATAATCAAAAAATCAAATCACAATGATGACCCTCAACTAGCTTAAGAAACACTGGTTGTGTCGAGTCCTGAGAATTTAATCATCGCTCCGTAGCATAAGATTGAGGCATGAGACGATAAGAACACTGAAGAACAAATCACAAAGCAAGAAGCGTGGCCATAATGAACCGCACACCGCGTCTCTGAAGCTGTCTTTGACCGTTGTGATGCATCCGCTGTCGCCCAGCTAAACAATTCACTTTCAAACAGAGAAAGCCGAAACAACTAAAGACCGAGCATAAGCCAAATCAAAGCCGTGAATTGCAATTGAACAAGAGAGCACTGGCCCGAGGGCCCTGTCGAGAAAGACCACAAACCCCACAAGAGCCCTGCGGCCCAGCCCGCCTTCAGCCACCGCCGGTCCGCCAGCTGTCTCGATCGCGGCTTTCGACAAGGGTACGAAAAGGAGTCCGTGGGCGATCGGCGCGGAGAAAAAAAGCGAGCGTTTGTTTTTCTCGGCCATCGGCGACACAGCGCTTAATTACGCCCGAGGGTGGGAGCCGACTTTCGCAAGCAGATTGGAGACCGTTCGAAGAACGAGGCAGTCGGCAAGGGGGGGCCTTCGGGGGACAAAACTTCCGACCGCACCCTGGCTCCAGAAGTCGTCCTTGCTCTCCTAAACAGAGAGTGCCGGCGGACAGGTATGCATGCCTCGCTCATTCGCTCTGGGAGACCGGGGCGTTTGTTACCGGCTGGGTCTTGTTCTCCTGGAAGGAGGGGTGTCTTGCCGAACGAGGTGAGAGGCTGGCCCGGTATAAAAACGTGGGCCTTTCGGGGAACACAATTACTCGCTGGTCTGTTATCGTCGACGGAACGCAAGCCTTTGGAAAAATGAACGCTCTGGTGGGTATTTGGATGTGGATTACGGCGCGGGACGATTCGTCGTGGTAGGGAAGCGCAGCTATGGTTTGTATGGTGCGTGGGATGACCGGGGCACGGCTCTGATGGGAGCGTCTTCGAGGAGCAGACGGTCTTGGAGGAATTTCATGGAGATTTTCGGGAAGCTGCTTTGAAGAAGTACTGTGGATGTGTTCGTTTCCTAAATATCTGGAAGGACTTTCATGGACTTACTTTGGTTCTGGAGGATCTGAGGACTGTGGGAAAAAAGAAGGCGGGCTCAGACAGGTACCTTCGAAGTGTACAGGATAGGGATATCTGACAACACGTATTTGGGGGTATCGGGAAAAAATTGAGAAGTTCTAGGTTTTTTCTGAAAGAATATAGACGAAGTCTTCTGAAGTCGTACGCCCGCTTTTAGGGGGTTCGGCGGATATCAAGAAATCACTGCTATTACAAAAGCAACTACAACATAACTTGAATGGAATATCATGTCACAGGGAGGACGTTAGAAAGGAACCTGATGAGCTGATGACTGCTGGATGCTTGAGAATTAATTTGACTTTTCAAGGCGTTTTTTAGGGTACCTTACAAATAAATTCAAGTCAAACAGTTAACACGGACCTTTAAATTGAGTGAGTAAAATGTTTAAGATTTCCGTAAATTAGTTATCATTCCAGAATTTACGAGAGAGATCACGGGAAGGCATGGTTGATCCCAGACGGTAGTGCAAGATTCAAACATTTGTTTTCTTGCTCATATGTTCCCGGAGTTGGGAGTACTTAAATTCTCGCGTATATTTGTGAGGCATTCAGGGAAGCTATAAACCCTAAGTGAAGTGCCTTTGAAATCTCACCAGCACACTGACGAGGTACGCCAGTTTTATATCGGTCATCAGTCGTCAAGTGGTGCAATAGTTGTACGGGATGAGCTTGATGGCAGCCTTTTTTTTTTTTTTTTTGTGAGCAGGTATTGTTCTAATTTAGCTTGCAATTGCAGGGACGTTTGAAGGAAGCATAACTGGGGTTTCGTATAACAGACTCCTAGGGAAGTTAGGAAGAGAGAGGTGTGCTCGGGATGACCTTGAAATATGTTGTGAGGAGTACAAATGAATTCGATTTTCTAAAATTTATTAATTAATGCCTGATTTATAAACAAAAGTAATAATAACATTCTTAATGAAATTAAGGCATCTGCAGCATATTGCACGGGAAGGCAATAAGCTTAGGAACGATAAGGTTACTGAGGTTACATATTCCCCTTTATTGTCGACATATTTAGCACCTCTCCTAATTTAGTTGAGTCGCTCGATTTATTAAAATTTCCCCGTATGTACAGCTAGGTAAAATATGAAAAAAAAGAAATAATATACACTGCTAATTCTAGGATGGCATTACGTATTTTAGACATCCACTGAATAGTACTAATGTTTAGACCCTTACACATATCAGCGGCGCCAGTGTACGCGTCATGTTTAAACATGCCACGTGCGTCCACAGGCGTCTGTTGCAACTGAACCGAACTGATCAACGTGCGCTTTTTTAGCTCTGAAAGTTGCTTGGGTAGCTGCATGCTCGATTTTGCATCATAAATGGGTTGCAAAAACTTCTCACGTACACTATGACTAATAGCCAAGCGAAACATTGACCTTGACCGATATTTCAACTCTAATGGTTTATTGTCTTTCGTCTCAATACACAATTATCAGAGGGAGGGTATATTCTAAGGAGTCAATATTTACATAACTAATGATCTCTATCTTTTTTTTTTTTAGTTTCTCTTAGCGAAAAATTTTCTTTTCACGCTGTTAAGCTGACAGAGCAAATGCGTTGACCGGTGATGTCTTATCTTGAAAGTTGGCACTATGAGCCATAGGTTGCCCTTAGTTGATATGACAACAATATTGACGACGCATAGTTAGGCAATCTTAAAGGGTTTAGATTCCAGATTATTTACAGAGATAACCTGAGCTGGCCTTCAATGACCGCTATATTCTGGGTAACAGCAAAAAAGGCAGTTTTCCCACAAAAAAGCAGCAGATAGTATACTAATGATTGCTTATCGTATTTAGAATTTAAGATAAAGTTTTGCGATATCTCCATCAAGTCAAAGAGGGATAATAAATATATTTTTTGATCACTATAGGGATATCTCTACTAAAAAAAGCACACTGTTCTTCCAACTGGGAGCCGTTTTTGATAGAGTACGTTTTCATGACAGTTTTAAATGCGGTAAGTGCCGCTAAACGCAGATTTCTACGCTGTGGTTCGCATCTGTGTTGAGTCAAATGAAGCCGCAGGTTCCACCCTTGGTGGTGCCCTTCCTCAATTCCTTTAAAAAAACATATAAAACAATAAGATCTGAGAATCGAAAATTTTGAAATCTAATCTGCCTACTGGCTTCGTTTGTTCTTCTAGAAACATCCCACATAGTCTGCGAACGATGCATTACCGCCCAAACATATAACCATCTTTATTTTGTTAGCAATTTTCTGCCTGTATTAATATTATACTCCAAGCTTTACCCAAATTATTTATTGCGGTAGCTCCCTCGCATTTTATTGCGTGCACGTTAAACGTTAATCAGTGCCTTCTTCTATCTGAACTTACACACATACCAGTTAAGTTGCATTCTTATCGTCTTCCTATAGATTGTCTGTTGCCTTCAATCACCTCTTGAGACTCAAACTAAAGTGACATATGAATGTTTACCCCTAAGTGTTTCCCTTGATGCCTCTGCAGGTAGCAGCCGTCTTTCTCGGCCTGGTGGCCGCCGTCTCCGCCGCCGGCTTCACCGCCCCGTCCGCCTACAGCGCTAGCGTGTACGGCCCGTCCATCGGCTCCTACGGCCACGGCCACCGCGGCTACCTTCCCCAGGCCTACAACCTCCAGGTGCGCTTCGGAGGCGGCGTCCAGGGACACGGAGGACACGGAGTTGCCGTCGTCGGTCACGGAGGCTACGGAGGCTACGGAGGATACGGAGGATACGGCCACGGAGGCTACGGCGGATTCGGACATGGTGGATACGGTCTTGCCCTCGGCGGACATGGCGGTTACGGCTACGGCGGATACGGCCACGGAGGATACGGTCTGGCTCTCGGCGGTTACGGCCTCGGACACGGCTACGGCTTCGGGCATGGCAAGCTTTACGGCTAAATGGTAGGTTGAATTCGTAGTGTTGGTCGACGTTTAGTGCTTGACTATAGTCAATGGCAGCGTAAGAATTCGTAAAAGCTCCGTCTCTAAGTGTGTTGCTTTTTAGCAAAGGTTTGACCGCACGTGCAACAAAATGTCATATCAGAGATAGGAAGCTCTCCGTCACTGACTATAGGTTAATACAATTAGTGGCAGGGACTGTGCGATGAGTGGCTACGCATTTATTTTATGGTGTGTGTGTACGTGAGTGTGCTTTCTTGGTGAGGACTAGTGGTGTGAGCTAGGCCGTGCGCAGACTTTTATGTGCGATGCATTTGCGATCGTTTATTGGTTGTGGAATTCGCTATTTTATATTGCGCTTGGACATAAGTGCGAACAAAGAAGCTACAAGACAGAGCGCAACGCCTTCAGCAAGTTTCCGTGGACATCCCTGAACATCGGAGTCTGGTCCTTGTAGCATCGCCTTCGCTCGAACTTACTGCGAAATAGGGTGCCTCCGTGTACGCTTTGCTTGGGTAGATGACATCTGGTCATTTTGTTTCAAACGCTTATTTTTATTTTTTTCTTGTTCTGAAGGGCGTGAAAGAGCGCGTCCCTGCACGTGTTCGTGGCGCTGACTGTGCTACGGCGACATTTTGTTTCCTGCGTTTTTTTTGTATTTTTCCTGTGAGCGCGTGCTGTCGGCATCGGGTACTACAAACGATGGCATCACCCTAAACAGAAGGACATTGAGGCACCCTACTGCGAAACAGAGTCTAGACGCTTGCACGCTAGAAGCTGCTTATTAAGATGTGCGGTGAGGAAAACGAGAGCAATCAATAAAATTGGCATCTTATTCAACAAGTCTGATCGTCGATTTAAGACACGCTTACATTTGCTGTCTCGTTTTCTACGGGTTTATTTTTACGAGGCTTTTTGAGTGCGCGCGATCTTTGTTGAGTTGGTCCCGAAGCACAATCGGGTCGAGCCAATAAGTAAACATTCCTTAACCACGACGACACAAACAAATGTTGTTCATAGTGGGACCTAAAATAAAATAAGTCCCCTCAGGATTTGGAGCCGGTGGTTTTGACGGTGAGGTACACATAGCCACTGACAACTCAAGAAATGCAGGATGTGGGTTGTTCCGAGCCTCTTATTTCCGTTCCGCAGCCAATGAGAGTGCCTACATTAGCCGATAAGAACACCGGAAAACAAATTACAAAGCATAAAGCGTGAACATTAGGGGCCATACCCAGCATGCCTTGCATGTGACGTCATATGGAACCGTAGCAGCCCGTGTTTCATGCAGCAAATATTTGGCACCCTCGAATCGGTTCTCCCCGGCAAGGCCTGCCGAGAAGAACAAATTCGATGGTGCGAAATGTACGCTGCAGAAGGTACGGGCAGAGGTGCATGGTACGGAGCGATGGTGGCCGATGTGCGAGCCATGTGTAGATCATACACCTAATCTCCCTAGAAACATGCTTCCGACCGCGCATGGGCATCATCGTAATCATTGGTGTCACACACTTTATCGACGTGAATAAACGAGTGGATGAAGGAATAGACGCCAGTTGCTATACCCTTTGACTAAAGCGGCAGTGTGCGCCGCGTAGTCTGATGAAGCATCAGTGAAACATAACGGTGATGGTGATGCTGCTAGTACGGAGTTGCGAAAAGGTCTTTCCGAGAACGCGCGCCAAGTAGAGCGACCCTTAAACATAGGAAAAGAAAAGTCCGTTCGCCGGACATGGGCGGGACCAGAGAAGGGGGCCGCATTGTTCGACAAACAACGACCTTCTTGAGAAAGCCCGGGAAGGATTACGGTTGCTTTGTAGTTCCTTTCTGGTACGCACGCTCAGGCGGCTGCGTTACGATATCTCCATATTCCATCTCGTTTCCTGACATCATTACGTGAACGTATATTGCACATTCGTGCCTGTTTTTCTTCTTTTGCAAAAGGGTTTTCAAGTCTTGTTTTTTCCCCCTCTCTGGCACAGTTGCAACCAGAAGACACGCCTTCAATGTAAATTAAATCAGTGCCAGAAAAACTAACGAAGAAAGAAAAAAAAAGAACAAGGTATCGACGATGACGGTGACCACGAGACTGACCTGAGAACGAAAGGCACTTTGACCAAGAAAGAGCCACTGTGAGAAAGTACAAACTGGAAGAGACCGTCGCGAGTTGAAATAAAGCGTTATTTATGCGCCGTTGACTCGAATATTTATTCGCGAATTACCTCCGGGAGCACACAAACTCAACTCTTCGACGTCACTCCACTGCGGTGGCGCTGCTGTCTGAACTGCGCATGCGCAGATGCTTTATAACGGGGGTAATCTGGTTTCCGCGCACGCGGAGTGTGCGCACCTGGTGGGGGGCAAACGCGGCGCCCCTTCGTAAGCAGCATGTTGATGAATGTAGTGGTTGACAGCTGCGGGAACCATGGGCCTGGCTTATGTTAATTCTAGCTTCATGATTGGTCCTTCACCACGTTCTTATCGGCAAATTCTGCAATTCCATTGGCGGCAGAGCGATAATGATATGGTCGGGCTCCGCCACGCCCTATACGTTTCTTAACTTGTCGGTGACGGTAGGGGCTTCATTAAATTCTGTTTGGTTTTATTGATGATGCGACTTGCCGTTCAAGATCAATGGCTAATGCTATGGGTGGTTGGCATAACTACACTCGTATTCCAACCGTAGTTGTAGAAAGGTGCTTCTGGAAATTGTTCTGGAACGTATGAAAGGACACGGTTTTGCAGGGAAATGCCTCTGATGGCATTTTTCTGCGAAACGACGAACCCACGCACGGTGTGCCGAATATTTCCATATATTGCCACGAGAGCTACAAACCGAAAGACAAACAGTATATATATATATATTGATATTTTTCAAGGTGTGCTCCCTGTCGGTTAGCATGTGAACTAAAACAAGAAATAAGCTTGCAGTACTACTGGGCCGTTACCAATACGTGTGTCTGTTTACAAACAATGCAGATATTTTACATGTATCGTAGAAGAAATCATAAAACAATAATATTTCCTCTTTTAGTTTTGTCGTTTTATTTATTTCTGACTGTTACTTTCAGCGGTTAACATTCTTTGATTTATTGAAAGCGCATCAAAACGATTATATATTTGTTTAATCAGTTGCTCAATAATGCACTGCGATGATACAGTGATGTCTTGTTAGTATGGACACCTCCGTTTTCGTAAAAAAGCGTCCATATTGTGAGTTGTCCATAATAACGAGCGAAAAATGCATGCATTTTCCCAGTTTGTCCCCGAAAGTGGGGTACACATACTCTCGGTCACCATAGTAACGAGACATGACTGTACACCACTTCTGCAAGTGATTGCTGAAGAGTGAAATCCGATGACATTCTTCTAAAAGCAGTTGCTTAACCAAACACAGCCTGATCACGGTTAAATAAAACTAAACTGTGATTATAAAAAAAAAAAAAAAACGGTTGCTTAAAAATACACTGCGATCAAACATTCGTGCAAGCCGTTGCAAAACAATACAGTTCTGAGCAACCTTTTTGCAGACGATAGTTAAAAACAAACCTTGACTATGAGCCTCCGCACACAACTCCTAAAATAAAGCACTCATGTAGACATCTACTCAATAGTTCACTGTAATTATACAGTACTGTTGCAAGGAGTACTGTTACAAACAGTAAACTCTGACAATATCTTTCCAACAGAAGTTGGTCTGTACACGATCTCTCAGCGTTTCAGTGTGAACATCAACTTTTGAAAACGGATGCTCAAAAATATACCACGGTCGTACACTTCTGCAAGTATTGACGCAACCATGCCTTTTGAGCAGCACTTCTGCAGACGGTTTTTCAACCGCATAGAATGTACTTCCGCAAACAATTCGTCCAAAGCAGATTGTGATCATGCACTTCTTTAAGCTGTTGCTCATAGAACACATGTGCACTGCGGTCATACAGTTTTCCAAACGTTTGTTCACCAAATTATGTACAATCATATACTTTTGCAATCAGTTGTTTAACAACCTGATATGACCACACACTTCTGCAAATAGTCGCTCGAAACTACACTACGGACATACAATTTTGCAAAGAGTTGGTAAACAAAAAACTTTCCTAGCTCTTTTCCTTCATACTTTGCAGAAAGACATTAACCTCGCGGACTGTATATACATATTTATATATTGTTAGGGTGATGCTGTCGGCAGCAGAAAGGACAGGACAGTACGCGATGATAGAACAGACAAAGGATTTATGGAGGCCGCGCCGGCCCGTGGGACCTGGCGCGAGATGGTCGTGCGCGCCACTGCCCCGTCGTCGTCTTCACCTTCCTGACAATATATATATATATATATATATATATATATATGAAAATGAAGTTGACAAGCACTCAAGCAACTTCAACTCATCGCGGCAAACCGAACACGCCTGACATTTCGTCTGTTTTTTTTCTCCGCTCTTCTGTCACTCTCTTTCTTGTTCTTTTTCTCGCCGATCTCAGCGTTGACCAGCGTTGACGATTTGCCGCTTTCCGCTCCCACCTTTAACATCCCCCCCCCCCCCCCCCCGCCTCCCCCCGGTTTCGGAAGGCGTAAAGTAACATTTCATCGCATGCTTTAGTTATTGTGTCATAATTCCTCTTCTTATCGATATCTATTCTCTGATTTGGATATGCGAATGGGAAAATAAGATTGGCATCAAGAACCGTTCTCCCAGAATGTTCTAACGCATGGAGAGATGATTGTGGTTTTCGTACATCGCTCACAATACAATACGCGAAGTTCCGAAACTCGACATCGTAATCGAGCATGTAGTGTTTCATGCACTCCCAAGAAGCGGTTATAATTCCAGTAATGTAAAGTAAAGGCCTATTCACACAGTAGCGTATGACTAGGTTTGGCTATATTGCTGGGGTTTACGTCGAGATTTGAATACCGGTTACCATGGCAACGAGCTTTGTTTACCCAGTTACTTACACTCGTATCTCGTCACAAGCCGCCTTATCGTGACACGTAGCCA